TTGCATTCTGTTGGGTCACCTCTCTTTGGAATAGGCACAAATATGGATTTCTTCCAATCAGTTGACTAGGTAACTATCTTCCAAATTTCTTGGCAGAGATGAGTAATGTTATGTCTTCAGCCTTACATCAGTTGTTGAAAGATTTCAATTAGTATTCCATCAATTCCCAGAGTCGTGTTCTTTGCCAATGCCTTCAGTGCATCTTGGACTTCTTCCTTCAGTCCCATTGGCTCTTGGTCATATGCTACCTCTTGAAATAGTTGAACACCGGCCATTTATTTTTGGTAAAGTGACTCTGTATATTCTTCCATCTTCTTTTGATACCTTCTGCATTATTAAATACTTTGCCTATAGTGCCCTTCAGTATTACAAGTCAAGGTTTGATTTTTTTCTATAATTCTTTCAGCTTGAGAAATACTTACCATGTTTTTCTCTTTTGGTTTTCTAATTCCAAGTCTTTGCACATTTTATTATAATACTTGACTTGTTTTGTCAAGCTGCTCTTTGAAATTTTCTGTTTAGCTCTTTTGCCTCTTCATTTCTTTATTTTACTTTAGCATCTCTATACTGGAAAATAATTGTCACAATCTCTTCTGAAATCCATTTTAGTCTTTTCCTTCTTGCTTGTCTTCTTTTACTTTCTTCTGTATAATGTTTTTGATGTCATTCCACAACTACTTGGTCTTCAGTCATGAGTGTATAATGCATCAAATCTCCTTTTGAGATGATCTCTAAATTCAGGTGAGATAAGTTCTAGGTCATAATTAGGTCTGGTGGACTTATTTTAATTTTCTTCAGCTTCAGCCTGAACTTGCATATAAGCGATTTGCTGTCTGTTACACAGTGTGCCCGTGGTCAATGATCTTGAGATTTTCCAGAGTCTCCTCTCTCATATGTAGTCAATGTGATTTCTGCGTCGTCCATCTGGTGAGGTCCTTGTGTATAGTTGTTGTTTATTTTTTTTTAAAAAAAGTTTTGCAATGAATAAGTCATTGTTCATGCAAAATCTCTCATGCTATCTCCAGCATATCTATCACCAAAGTTGTATTTTTCACCTTCAACTTTGTTCCAACCTTTGCATAACAATAACCAGTAATTATCAATGCATCTTGATTGCATGTTTGATCAATTTCAGACTGAAGAAGTAGAATTCAATTTAATCTTACTGACTTTAGTGTTCGGTGAAGAAATTGGGAGTAACAGTTGTATTAACTGATCTTCCCTTTTTGTTGTTGTTAAGTGCCGTGGAGTCAGTTCTGACTTATACTGACCCTATATAGGTTTTCCAAGGCTTGCAAAGTTTTGTGGGAGTAGAAGAAAGCCTCATCTTTTCCCCAATCCAATCAATGTACGTGTATGGATATTATTCTACCACAAACAGCATTATACTTCAAGACAGATCTTGAAATGTTCTTATTGATGACGAATGTGACATCATCTTCAATTTGTCATTCCCAGCATAGTAAACCATAGGACTGTCATATTCAACATGGGCAATACCTGTCAAGTTCATCTCACTCACGCCTAGGATATCAATCTATCTTTGCATTCCACTTCATTTTTGACAACTTTCAGTTTTCAAAGATGTATACTTCTTACAGTCCATGTTTCAATTATCAGTAGTTTTTTATATCTTTTTCTCCTCATTTTGAGTTGTACCCCACAGCAGTTGAAGTTCCCATAAGCTTCACTCCATTTTGTCATCGTGGTCAGCTCTCCTTTGAAGAGGCAGCTTTCCCCCAGTCACCTTTTGAGTGCCTTCCTACTTGAGGCATGGTATCTGACAGTATTCTGGTGGTATTCATAATGTTTTCATCTTCTAGCACCGTATCTGATAATGTTACACTGCTCCTCAATAGGATTTCAATAGACTGTCTGGAAGTTCAGCTGAAACCTGTCCACCTTGATGACTCTGCCAGCATTCAAAATACTGGTGGCAGAGTATCCAGCATCACAGTAACACACAAGCCACCACAGTATGACAAACTGACAGACAAATGGTGGGTTTGCCTTGATAGGAACATGGATTGCCTTGAAGAGGAAAGCTCTCTTCATATTTCTCTTGAGTGGATGCTATACATTTTTCCATGCATCATACATAAAACCATTTTATTCTTCTGATATATCTGGCTATATGCCACTCTTCATTTAAATATATAGATCTTATGTATCTACATTGAGTTCATTTTCCATTATGGTACTTAGAGTGAGTATCCCAACATACGTCAACATTTTGAGTGACAAAATCTATATGGATGTTCAATACTTCAGTTTCAGGTCTTTGACTTCATATCTAGTGGTCCTAATTACCTCTCAATTTCAACCATCCACTTCTAAGGCAATACCTCAAACACTGCCATTACTCAGAAGTGAGTTGTACTTCTGATATCATAGATACCAACATTCCACTTTCTGATTACAACCTTCTATCCATCCTTAAATTTACGTATTCAATTACATTTAACTCTGCTAAAAAATGCATAGTTTCTGTATTCTTCCATTTAAAAAGATATTTATGTCCCTTCAACTGTATTTCCTGACCTCTTTAGCCTATCTTATCATTTGTCATTTCATCAACTATTTTTCTAGTCCTTCAATTTGTCTGTTCTTTGTCATTAAGTTATGTAAATCCATAATCCTGATTCATTTCCATTCTTGGCCTTCTGTACTATGATAATTAAATGAATTTATACATCTGATGTGGTGCTGTAGGATTAGCACTGGACTGTGAACCACAATTTCAGTAGTTCAAACCCACCAGCTGCTTCTCAGAAATCCTACACAGGTTTGCTTTGAGTTGGAAAATACTTAACAGCACTTAACAACAACAACAACAACAACAACAACACTGTTAAATAAGTTATGACATCTATCTCTCGCTATGTCTTCACGATTGCTTGAGTATGTTCATTTCTTTGTCCTCATTCACTTTCTCTCCATTCCTTTTAGTAGCTTCCCTAACTCATCATTCCCTTCAAAGGTTCCTTCCCTCTCATTTTCAGAAGACTACACCAATTCCTACTTTACAGAATCACATAATGAAACCATTATTTGTGGACTCACATTTATCCACATTCAGTATTCTTCTCTTCTTTTTTCTTGTCTATAAGTATAAGGTGACCATCTTTCTGTTTAAGACAAACTCTTCCATTTGCTGTTATGTGCTGTTGAGTTGATTCCAACCCATAGAGATCCTCTATAGGGTTTCCTAGAAGCAGCTGGTGAGCTTGAACCACTGACTTTGCAGTACAAACAACTTTGCAGTCTTGATGCATTAGCTCACAGCACCAAACCAGAACTCCAAAACTCTTACATAGATGCTCTATATTCCATCACTTCCTACCTCCTCTAGAGTCCTGTGTCATCAAATAATTCTGTATTGCTTACTTCCATTTACTCTATAAACATGATTTAAATATCTCCCATTTTTCAAACTCAAAAAACAAAACCTTTAATAGACCTCTTCTTTTCAACTATAACTATCATACTTCAATTTTCTAGTCTAAACTAGGAGTCCTGGTGTGGCGCTGTGAGTTAATGAGCCAGACTGCAAAGCCTTTTCGAACTGCAAGGTTGGTGGTTCAAGCTCACTAGCTGCTCCTCGGAAAACCCTATACAGGTTCATTATGGGTCAGAATCGATTCAACGGCACTTCACAACAACAACATAGTCTAAACTGCTATGCTTCTTTACCTCTTAATCACTACTCAATACACAGAAAACTAGCTGCTATATTTAATAGTCTACTGAAAGTATTCTTCTGGGGGATACTAACGACAACCCAATTGCAAACATAAAAGAATATTTTTCATCCTTATCTTACTCTGTAAGCAACATTTAACTTTTTGGCAATTTTCTTTGGTTTCAGTGACATACTTTAAAATTTTTCTTCAACCTCTTTGACTTCTTGTTTATAACATTTATTGAACACTATCATAACACTATACATACTTAAGCCTACTATTCCCACTTCACAAAATGAAAATTGAGGATTTTGGAATCAATAGTCCAATGGACTAATGAGACACCACAACATCAGTCTCCACAACTCTGAGATCAGAAAAACAAGACAGTGCCCAGAGACCATGACCAATTGCTCTGAAAGGGATCATATTCGAAGGTCACAAATGTGGAACAAAATTCATAATTTTACTGGTTAGAAAGAGACTGAATTAACCCGAGACTATGGCCCTCGACAATCCTTCAGGTCTGGAATGGAACTAACCCATGTGGCCCAATTTTCAGCCAAATGGTAGATAGGTATATAGGAGGTACAACAATACTAGTAAGGTATGTTCACCATGGAACAGAAAACCATTAAAGACCAAAAGAACATTTACCTAAGGACGAAGTTCAGAAGGGTTGGGAAGGATGGTGGGATGGAAATAAAACCACAGGGAGGAAGTGGTGTAACTATTGTTGCATAGAAGAGATTGCAATCATTGAGATGAAACAATGGGTATGATTTGCTGAATGTAAAACTGATGATCTGCTCTGTAAACCTTCACTCAATTCACAATATAAAGTTAAAAAAAAACAACAATAACATGATAGATATAATCTATTGAGTGGATTTTACAACCACTCCAGAAGTCTACATTAAGTCTATTAAAAATTCTTTAAGATATTCCTTTAGAAACTTCTTATATCATCATAGGTGAGCTTTTCTTTTACTGATATTAATACAATGTTCAAAATAGATATCATTTCAGTCATCATTTATCTTGTCAAATAGTCTAACAGGTAATTGAGCTCCATTTAGACAACTGAAACGTTTATGCAAATTTTATTATTCTGATGGGAGTGCAATTTTAACAAATGCAACAAGGGAAAGAAGTAGAACCATGAATGTTTACGAATGAATTATTTTTAAGCTATAAAAATGAATATTATTCAATTTTACTGAGGTTTATATTTCCTCATTCACCATTGTAAAACCAGGTATAAATGTCTGCCAAACAAACTACACTTATTTCACAAGAGGCTTAAAATAATTTTACCTGTAGTAAACTCGAAGTGTCTGAATTTCCTCTTCCAGTGTTTTGTACTGTTGAACTGCAATTTCTCTGGCTTCCTGCATAGATAATAACTTTGCCTGAAAGCAATTCATATTTTAAGAAAATTTAATATTAATCTTGATGTGTTAAAATACAGCACTACAGCATAAAGTTTTATTTCTTAAGTTGCTGATAGTTTTAAAATTTGAAAATATTTTTGTAGCATCTCACAGTTCACCATAAAACAGTTCAGTTGTATCAGTAACACAAACATTAAAGACATGAACATATTAAATTTATCAGCTTTGTTCATTACTATACTTCAGTCTTATTTATCTGTATCATCAGATATGTTTTTATGCTCTTCTGCAATGTTTAACTTTATACACTGAATTCAGAATGTGGAACGTGGGTTCAGAGCAATATCTAGAGTAGAGATAAGCATAGTGAGTGTTTCACATACAGATTTAATGTGGCTCCACTGCTTAATCACACTAGGTTTTCTTTTAACTTTATTAATAGTAGAGCTCAGAAAATTCTAAATATGTTTCCAGGCCACCCTCCATAGCAAATGTAAAAATATTCACAAGTTTAAAATTTGATTCTTACAGATATGATTTAACTTTTCAAATCTGATTTTGCAGAGAAAAAAAAAACACCCCTAAATGAACAATGTTAGAAACACTGAATGTTAGAGATATTTAATTCATTAAATATAATATTAAGAGTTATCAATATATATATATTTTTAATGGAGTTCAACCTAGTCTTATTAGTTACCTGGTGGTGGTTGGTGGTTATGTGCCGTGGAGTCGGTTCTGACTCATAGCAACCCTGAACAGGGTTTCCAAGGCTGTAAATCTTTACAGGCACAGAAAGCCTCATCTCCCACGGAACAGCTGGTAGTTTCGAATTGCAGCCCAATTAGTTACCTAGTGCTGCTTTAATACAAGTACTACAATTGGGTGGCATTAAATAATTTAATTTTTTTTCTTTTCTTTCCCAGTTCTTGAGGCTAAAAGTTCAAATTAGGATCTCAGCCTTGGATTACCTCCCTGTGAGGAGTCCTAAGCACTACTAGGCTTGTACATGATCCACAAAAGATGCCTGTTTGCCCCCATACATGTGTCACTGTGTCTATTCTGCTCTTTTTAAAATGAGAAGTGAACTTAGGACCTGTCTTACACTGGCATTACCTCATTGAGGTAAGAAAATAAAGCTCTAGTTTCCAACACATCCACAGGTCCAAAGAATTCAATACATATTCACTCAAAACAGGCCAGGGGAAGACTGTGGAAGAGACCATCAATTACTCATCTGCAAATTCATAATGAAGCTAAAGAAAATGAAAATAAGTCCACAGAGCCAAAATATGAACCAGAATATATCCCACCTGAATTTAGAGATCACCTGAATAAAAGATTTGATACATTAAACACTAAAGACCGAAGCCTAGAAGAGTTGTAGGATGACATCAAGAATGTGAAGAAAGCAAAAATTAAGAAGACAAGAAAGAAGGAAAAGATCAAAATGGATGTCAGAAGAGACACTGAAACTTAATTTACAGTGTAGTGATGCTAAAGCAAATGGAAGAAATGAGGAGGTCCAAGAGTTGAACAGAAAATTTCAAAGGTAGGTTGGAGAAGACAAAGTCAAATATTACAACAAAATGTGCAAAGATCTGGATACAGAAAACCAAGGGAAGAAAACGCTCAACATTTCTCAAGCTGGAGGAACTGAAGAAAAAATTCAAGCCTCAAATTTTGTTTTTGAAGAGTTTTCTGGGCAAATTATTGAATGATGCAGGAAGCATCAAAAGAAGATGAAAGGACTACAGAGTCACTGTGCCAAAAGGAAATGGTTCATGTTCAACGGTTTCAAGGGGTAGCATATGATCAAGAGCCAATGATACTGAAGGAGGAAGTGCAAGGTGCATTGAAGGAATTGATGGAATAAAAATTGAAATCTTTCAGGAAAGTGAGGTGGCACAGGAGGCACTCACTTATCTCTGCCAAGAAATTTGGAAGACAACTAACTCACCGACTGATTGGAAGATATCCATATTTGTGCCCATTCCAAAGAGAGGTGACACAATGGAAGAATTGAAATCATCGGACAATATCTTTTATATCCCATGTGAGTAAAGTTTTTCTAAGGGTAATACAGAAATGGCTGCAAGCATACATTGACAGAGAACTTCCAGAGGCTCAAGCTGGATTCAGAAGAGGATGTGGAATGAAGGATATCATTGATGATGTCCGATGGATCTTGGCTGAAAGCAGAAAACACCAGAAAGATATTTACCTATGCTTTGTTGATTACACAAAGGCTGTTGATTGTGTGGATCATGACAAGCTATGGACAACATTACGAAATATGAGTATTCCTGAATTGTGTTCATGAGGAATCTGTACCTGGACCAAGAGGCAGTTAGTTGTTCGAACAGAATATGGGAACACTGAATGGTTTAAAATTAAGAAAGGTGTGTGATAGGGTTGTATTCTTTCACCATCCTTATTCAACCTGTATGCTGAGCAAACAATCTGAGACGCTGGCTTATATGAAGAAAAATGTGGCATCAGGATTAGAGGAAAACTCATTAACAACCTGCAATATTCAGATGATACAACCTTGCTTGCTGAAAGTGAAAAGGATTGAAAGTATTTACTGATGAAGATCAAAGACCCCAGGCTTCAGTATGGATTACATCTCAATGTAAAGAAAACAAAAATCCTAGCCACTGGACCAAGAAACAACATTCTTATCAACAGAGAAAAGAATGAAGTTGTCAAGACTTCATTCTTCTTGGATCAACTATCAACATTCATAGAAGCAGCAGTCAAGAATTCAGACGACATATTGCATTAGGCAAATCTGCTGCACAAGACCTTTTTAAAGTGTTGAAGAGCAAAGGTCAGCTTGAGGACTAAGGTGCACCTGACCCAAGCCATAGTATTTTCAATAACCTCATATGCATGTGAAAACTGGACAGTGAATAAGGAAGACCAAAAAAGAATTGATGCTTTTGTGTTATGGTGTTGGAGGAGAATATGGAGAGTGCCATGGGCTGTGTTGGAAGAAGTGCAACCAGAGTGCTCCTTGGAGGCCAGGATGGCCAAACTTCGTCTCTCATACTTTGGACATATTGTTAGGAGGGACCAGTTGCTGGAGAAGGATATCATGTTCATAGAAAAAGAAGAAGACCTTCAGCGAGCTGGATTGGCAAAGTGGCAGTATCAGTGGGCTCAAGCATGGCAACAATAGTGAGTTTGGCCCAGGACCAGGCAGTGTTTCATTCTGTTGTGCATAGGGTCGCAATGAGTCAGTACTGACTTGATGGTACCTAACAACAACAACAACATACTGTATAGAAACTGTATACTTACACTCTATATTAAATTTTTTGATGAAAGTAAAATTCATTTTGGGCAAAGCCTAAGGTAATTCAGGATTTCTATATACTTTTAGATAAACACTTTAGACAAGTATAACACTTTTTTTTCTTATCGATATATGTTTAGTAAAACATTTATCAAAGTAAAACATACATGTACCAACTTTGGAAATTATATTTGTAAAAAGGAATGATTTTTTAAAGTTAGGGTTATTGAGTTATAATTTAGAGTAAAAATTTTCTCATTTATGCTTTTGCACCTGGATGAATTCTTTTCAAGGTTAGAATTATTTACACAGAAAACAATTTTGTTTTGTAAATTTTATAGAATTATGTAACAATTTAAAGAATCATGTTGTTGTTGTTGTTGTTAAGTGCCGTCGAGTTGGTTCCGATCCATAGTGACCCTGTATAGGGTTTCCAAGAAGCAGCTGGTGAGCTTGAACTGCCAACCTTGCAGTTCAAATGATTTTGCAGTCTGGTGCATTGGCCCACATCAAAACCAAGTTAATGAATATTTCCATCTCCCCAGAATAATTCCTTGTGCAACTTTGCCTCCCTTTATCATCAACCTCTGGCAGACATTGTCATGATTTCTGTCCTTATAGTTTTGCCTTTTCTAGAATGTCATATAAATGGAACCATACAGTAAACAATCTTCTATGTCTGGCTTCTTTCACTGAGAATAATAATTTTGAGAGCAATCTATATACTTTATAACTATCAATAATTCTGTCAATGAGCAGTATCAAATGATATGAATTTATCACTTTCTGTATATCCATTCACCAGTTGATGGATATTTGGATTGTTTTCAGTTTGGGCAATTATTAATAGCTGCTATAAATGTTCTGGGTGAATGCTTAGAGAAGGATTGCTGTATTATATAATAAATGTGTTTGACAGCATGGTAAATTGCCAGAATTGTTGCCTAAGTTGATATAACCTTAAAACATCTGTGCTTAACTTTAATAGCAATGCTATTTGTTGAATGTACCAAGTACTTGAAATATATTTCTGTAGTCTACACACACAGTCAATCTAAAAAATAGTTCTGGTGTGGCACTAAAAGATAACTGGACTGCTACCCACAAGGTCAGTGGTTCAAATCCACGAGTCACTCCTTGTAAACCCTATATACGGTCACTAAGAGTTAGAACTGACTCAATGGCACATAGCAAGAACATTATTCCTATTGTGTGTTCCTTTGATGCTGCAAACTATGCCACTGGCATTTTAAATATAAGTAGGATCACTTACGTTGGAAATGTTTCAGTGGAGCTTAGAGACACTAAGAAGGAGACACAGACAAGTTATGAAGTGTTAACCACTAAAAAAATCTTATGAATAGAAGCCGAACATTGTCAGATACAACATCAGAAACTAAGTGCTGGAAGGCAATCAAAATACAATGGGAAAAGAGCTGCTTTCCCAAAGTAGAGTTAGCCATAATGACATGAATTTTATCTTTATTTGATGTATCACAACTCAACAGGGGAAGAAACAGCTGCAAGCATCCATAAATAATGGGAACACAGAAAGTACAAAGTATAAATTTAGGAAAATTGAAATAGAATGCATAAGGATTTATATCCTAGCCATTAGTGAGCTGAAATGGACTGGGTTGGCCATTTTGAATTGAACAATCATAAGCTTTACTCTGCTGAGAATGACAAACTAAAGAGTAATGGTGTTGCATTCATC